GGACGCTGTCGGCCGCCTCCACGCACGTCGTCGCCCGCTGCAGCAGCGTATCGCGCGTCTCGCTGTAGCGCCGCGTCGACTTGTCGGCAAACTGCTTCGCGCCGTCGACGAGGGGCTCCATGGTGCTCTTCACCGTCGCTGCGCACGCCTCGACGCGCTGGCGGCCATTCACGGCGGTGTTCTGCACCGTTTCCTTTGCTGCTTGCTGGTAAGCCTCGGCGGACGTCTTGGCATCGTCCAGCACCTTCTTGCCGGACACCACGTACTGATCGGCGACAGAGCGCACCTTTTGCGCGTACGATGACTGCTGGGTGTCCTTTGTCTCCTTGCCGCATGCAGCCGCGGTGTCAACCGCGCCCACGGTGCACTTCTTCTCCTCCTCCTCGGTGAGGGTGTTCGCCCCCTGCATTTTCGCTGCGGCGGACTCCCCAGACTCCCTCGCGGGGCGCACGGCGGCTGCCGTTGTGCCCGCAGTTGCACTGCCGCACGTCTGAGCCCAGGTGGGCGCCTGCGCCCTGTTCGCACCGTTCATTGCCGGCCCTTGGACGTCAGTTGAGCTCATTGACTTCACTCCTGTCGTTGTGTGATATGGTATAGAAAGCTTAGCGCGTGTTGGTTCTTGCCCCCCCCTCCAGCGGAGTGTTTGTCGGTGAGGTGTGAAGGCACCGACACGGACAGAGGCGAGGGGGAAACAGGGAAGGGGAGAGGAAAAGAGACATAGAGAAAGAGAGACGGTAGTGAAAGTACGGGGTGCACCCCAATAAATCTGCAGCAGAGCAACCCCACACTAAAGCGTGAGAGAGGGAAAGAGGAGAAAGCTAAGAAGGGCAAATGGAGGAAAACACTTCTTGTTTAACCGAACGGAAGCCTCCTTGTTTTTAGGTCTCCTTTTATCTCTCGGGGTTACTTACAACACACAGCCACACGTCATGTAACTTTTCCTTTTCGTTACTTCCTGTGTACTTTAGCATAGAAACACGAAGGACGGCACAACACCGCAAACACAGAAGAAAAAAAGATAACGAGGCAAGATCATCGCGAAATCAGCGGCTGTACTCCTTCACAGACATAGACAGACACGCACACAGAAACGAGCATTGGTCTCAATTTCCTCTTGCTTTCGCTGCTGCCCTCTTGGGTTTCCCCGCACCCCCCGTGTATTCTGGGTGGTGTTGACGCAGCACATCACTCCTCTGATGCAGCAGCAGCAGCAGCGGCCAACTTCTGCTCGCGCCAACGTTGGAACGCCTTCTCCCGGTGTTCGTGCAGCCGGCGCTTGCGCTCGCGGTTCTTCGCAATGCGCTCCTGCTTTGCAATCATGATAGCCTTACGCTTCTCCTCCTTCTCTTCCTTGGTGAGCACCTTTGACCTCTCCGTGCGGAGCGCCTGACGCTTGATGCGGTCGTCAATCTTCATGGCCTCGCGACGACGGCGTTTAAGTGCGCGCTCGGCGTCCGTCAGGTCACCGTTGCGGTGTGCCACAAGCGCCTTGACGATCTTCGCCCGCACACGCTTAGCCCGCTTGTAGAAGGCAGCCTTCTCCTTTCGACCCTGCTTCTCGTATTGTTGGTAGAGTACCTTCACGGGAACAGGCGCCTTTGTCTCCCTTGCACGCGGTGTCACGCCCAACATGCGCTCCATCGACGCGAGGAGACGGATCGACGCGGCGGACATCTGAAGCTCGTCGTCGGCGACTGCCTCCTCGACAACCGCCGCCAGCCACGCAGTGTCGAGCTGCACGCGGCTGTTGTACTTGAGCACCATCCGCAGGCAGTGGAAGTAGTCGTACAGCAGCGTGTGCAGCATCGCATACACCGTGTGCGGCGTCGTCGACTGCAGGAAGGCAGCGATGGAGCCGCCGCTGGCGGCCTTCAGTGCCGCGCCCAAGCCAGAGAGGCGCGGCAGCATCGCCTCGATCATGTGGCAGCAGCCGCGGAAGACACGCACGCGCTGCGGTCCCGCGAGGCCCTCCACCTCGCGGAACTTCTCGAACACCGCCGGGAGCAGCGCCCAGGCGAAGCCGTGGCGGTAGTGGTGCATGTCGCGTTTGACGCCCGGAATCCGCTTCTTCGCATCCCAGCCGCGGTCACAGAAGACGGACTTGTAGAACTCCACAAGCGTCACTCGCACATCCTCGCCAGCGTGATTCTTGTAAGCAAGGAAGGCGGTGAAGTGGAACACGCGCAGGGCGACATCCTTCAGTTTCGCCATGCGCCGCCGCACAGTGACCGCGTGACGGGCCGACTGGCTCTCCTTGCGTACCAGCACGTGCTCCAGCTTGCGGGAGTAGCTTTGGATATCGGACAGAAGCTGGAACAAATCCTCCGCCGCGAGGAAGCGTCCAAAGTAGCGGTTCTTCGTCATCATGAGCATCTGGATAGCCGACGCGGCGCTGTTAAAGACAACATCGTCGGGCGACTTCACGTTTTCGCGGCAGACGGCTAAGAGCACCTGGAAGATGTGCAGCATCAGCGGTGAGCGCATCGCCGCACCGACACGTGCAGCAGTTTGAATCGCCCGCACAACATCGCTCTTCTCCTTGTTGGCGGTGTCTATCGGATAGACGAACTGCAGGTCCACGTTTCCGACCATCCCCTTCAGCGCGTCGATGTATTGTTGCGTGGGCGGCTCCTCCTCTTCCTCCTCGTCATCGTCGTCCTCATCGTCATCGCCCTCCAGTCCATCCTTCTCATCGTTGGCTTCACTCTCCTCGTCCGCGTCATCCGCGCTCTCCGTCTCCGCATCATCCGCAGCGTCTTCGTCATCCTCCTCGGTGTCGGTGGTAGCAGTCGCGGTGGTGCTGGAGCTCTCGTCGTCCTCACCATCCGCATCGCTATCTTCTTCGCCCTCCCCATCCTCATCATTAGCGGCTGCGGCCATTTCCTCGTCACTGCCGTCACCGCCGCCGCCGCCGTTCTCTCCGTCACTGGAGGATGCGTCGTCGTCGTCGTCGTCGTCGTCTGCCTCTCCCTTCCCCCCCTTCGCCTGCCGTGCCTTTTCGCGGTCGTCGGTGTGGTACGCCTCCCGCAGCGGAGCGAGCAGCAAGTCGAGTGTCACACGCTCTCGCACGTAGCGCGCGAACTTCAGCATGTAGCCGGTAGCAATGCGCCGCACGCATGTCATGAGCGGCATCACGTGGATGGGCGCCGTCGGCCGCATCACGAGCGCCATCAGTACGTCGTAGAAGATGTCGAGCGTCTCAAGCGTGCCGGTGAGAAAGAACTGGCAGAGATCTGGCACAGTGGAGGCCGCTAGCGCCTTCGCCTCCTCGTTAGTCGGGTCGTCGGTGCTCAGCACAAGGAAGAGCAGCACCAGTAGCACATGCATGTCGCGCTCGGCGTAGAAGAGGACGCTGCGCTTCGCGGAGTCCTCCAGCGCCGCCACGATGCGGTTGCGCGCCTTGCGGAAGCTGCTCTGCGTCGCGCCCGTCGTGTACCGCGTCTGCCCCTTCCCCTCCGCCTCGAGGTACGCGGCAATAACACTCAACGGGCTCAGTGTGCACTTCGGCCGCGACACAGCAGCGGTGTAGGTGAAGGAGAAGATGTCGGCAAAAAGGAAGATGGCGCGGTTCATGCTGCGCTCATCACGGTGCGGCGGCGTCGGGTAGAAGCCGAACTCCAGCAGCGCACGAGCCGCGTCGTCAATGTACGTGCACGCCACGCCTTCACGCAGCGGAACGTACAGGCATGCACGCAATTCACGCAGCACCCACGTGCGGTTCGCAAACGCCGATGGGTCCGACACACGTGTGGCGCGGTACTGCACGAGGAGGTCGCGCACCTTGGCGTCAAGGGCCTCCAGAGGAAGCCCACGCAGCTCTGCAATGTCAGTCGCCTTCGCAAGTGTGCGACGGCCGTAGCCAACGGTTTTGCTGGCGATCTGTAGCATCTCTGCGCGCTGCTCGGCATCGTCATTCTGCACGACCAGCTGGCCGAGTCGGGAGACAAGTTGCTGGAACAGCGCACGTCTCGGCGCGTCCGCGTTGCCTCGGCGGTACGGCGCAATGGCATTGTGCACCATAGTACTGAGGTGCTCTTTCATTGACTCTCCAGCGGCGCAGCGCTCTGCCACTGTGTCGAGCCACTCCTCCCAGACCGGGTGCACCATGGGATGCACCGCCGTCACCTGCTCCTTGCGGAAGAGCGCGCTCGCCAACTGTTCCACCGTCGACGGCTCGAGTGGATCCATTGCGGCGTACTTCAGCACGGCGGTTGGAAGGCCGCGGGTGAGGGCGTTCGGCTTCTCTTCCATTGACATGAGACGCAGCAGCAACTGAATTCCCTCGGGGCGAAAGTACTCCATCTTCGGGTAGTGGAAGAAGGCGAGTGAAAGCCACTCCACAACGCCCTCGTCTGCCCATAGCGCCGGGAACCGCTGGAGCGTCTCGAAGAGAATATTCGCCGTCAGCACACGTGTCGCCTTTTGCTCAATGTAGGCGAAGCACAAGTAATGCACCAGGCAGCGCGCGTCTTCCAGATGTGCCTTGCCGCCGTTAGCAACAACAACCCCCATTGCGAATACGGCAGCAATCATGCGCTGGTTACGTTCACCTTTGGTTGGATCATTAATTGAATCAGGATCAATTTCATCCTCTTCATCATCCGGCTGCTGTGCATCCGCCTTGGCTGTGCGCGCCTTCAGACGAGCCTTGGCTGCCTTAAGACGCACGTCCAGGGCCAGTTCCTCACCAATCAACGCGAGTACCACAGAAGGCGACACACTTGTCTCGTGGAGTGTCAGATAGAGTGCGTGTGCGTGCAAAACAATCATCGCCAAGTCCTCCGTAACCATACCAAGCAGCAACCGCGAGAGTGCGTAGGGAACAGCGTGGTGTGCCGTTTCGCGAAGGCTTTTTAATGAACGGCATTCCACATCCTCCGAAAGTTTTGCCTTAAGATAATTCACGAACGCGTGCTGGCCCTCCCTACGACGTGACGAGTTGTGCCGCAGACACATCTGAAGCAGCGCTCGGACGTGCTCGCGATCTCTCACCGTTTTGGCCAAGGTCAGGCGAGCCTGACTAAACCTTGCATGGCCCTTCTCCTCGGTGGGATCCTGCGACCCCTGCTTGCGCTGAGCCTCCTCCTCGACTTCATCCTCCATTCCTTCCTCCGCAGCTGATGTGTGAGACCTCCCTGTGCCTTGCTTCTTCGAGAGATTGNTGTGCCCTTTGCCCTTGTTCACCTCGTACGAGGCCCACTCGTACCATACAATAAAGGCTTGCACCGTGTTGGGAGCACCACGCTCAAACTTGCTCAGGTAGGTGCGAAATGGCCTCACACTGTCCGGCAGGTGCTGCTGCACAAAAGGAGGGGGGACAAACTTGAAGAGTTTGCCAAGATCTGGGCCAAACAGGTCAGTCGCGTTCAGTCTTGATTTGAAGTTCGCCAGATCCACACGCAGCTCCGACGAGACTTTAGCAGCCAAGTGGATGTCAATGTCTTTTGTCCGCGCGGACCGCGCCGGCTGGCGGCCGCCGTTACCGCCACTCTCGGCCCCGCGACGAGCGTCACCGCCTTGATGCTGCACGAACTTTTCGCGGGCATATTTCTCCCGATGGTACTTCGCCTTTTCCTTCTTGATATGGCTTGACTTGCCCTTCTTGGGAGCGGGCCGCCCCGGCTGGCGCCTCTCCGGCGCTGCACCGCCCCTGCGCTGCGAGGAAGGCGGCATTCCCTTTTTATACCTGTGTGATTGCTAGGTCACCTGAGGCAGCACGCGGACATAAGAAGAAAGAAGAACAAAGAGAGTCGGCATCGTGTCGCCAGCAACAAGAGTTCGACGCAGAGCAGAGGAAAGAGGGAACAGGCAACCAGTATCCGTACAGAAAAGACAAACGCTGAGTGCCGATGCGCCACCAAAATATTGACGCGGCAGAATGCAACGAGCAGGGAAAAATGTATTCTATGCGCGCACGGGGTGGGGGAGGGGGAAAAGAAACGGGTCTCCGCTAAATAAATCAAGAAGTTGAGACAAACCGCCAGAGTCACTTTCATCATCGCAGGCTGAAACCAAACAAACTCGCAGGGGTTTTTCAGCTCCGCAGCGTTAATTGCGTGTATTCAGGTGCAGAAAGCGCCATAAACCAAAAGAAAAACAGGGGGGAGTCAAGTAAACACATGACTCACAAAGCAATACGAAGGTCATAGCGCCAAGAAGTAAGGAGGGAAAGAAAAAGAAGGCAGAGTAGACGCAGCGCGCTCAAAGTGGCTCAGGGCCGTAGTCTTCAACGAGCGCCATCAAAAGGCTCTCCTCGTGACCCTTCAACTCCTGCAGTGTGCTGTCGATGCTTGCCATGGCAGCGGGGTTGTAATATTGCAGCATGCGCTTTATACGCTGCTGGTAGTTGCTGGACTTCCGCTCCACCTCTTCTCGTGCCTTGGCGGATTTTTTATCTGGATCGAAAAACTTCTTGTAGAGAAGAATGATTTCGTGCAGTGGCAACTTCACCAGCTGCTCTTTCGGGACCGTGGACTGGTAGAAGGGAGTGCTGGCGCGAAACTCCTGTGCCCTGGTGAAGACAAGTGGAAGAATACTTTGCCACTCTGAAGCCGTAAACTCGCGCATTAGCATCTGTTCACCAACCCCCTTGCACTGGTCCTGATTGAATAACCCTGTCTTCTCGACATCCAGAATCTGGGCGTACCTTAACAGCGGGATGTAGCTTTTCTCATCCATTCCGTACCACCGCCTGGGATCACGCCGCGATAGTGGGATCCAGAGACAAACGACGTGGAACGGAACGCTCCCATCTTCTGTTGACTGCATTGCCATCCTGAACAAAGCAATCACGTCATTTGGGTGGCTTGGAAGGTTCATGTAGCGTAAAAGCCGGCACGCATCACGCCAGCGCAGCTCCGGGTTGTTGCTCTTAGGACTAAGGGTGGCAAAATCCACCCAGTTATCCTTCAAGAAGGTGAATTCCTCTTCGCTAAGTCCATATTCGCTCGCGGTGCAGGAGATCTCTTGTTTCCACATCTCTACTCGTTCTCGCGGGAGACAAAGAGAGAGATCATGCCGCAGCATGTTTGGGACAAAACCCAGAGTCCAGCCTCGGTCGCCCAATTGTTGTTGTTGTTGTTGTTGCTGTTGGTTTTGCTGCTGTTGTGTTGGTCGTCGCGTCGACTCCGCAGACCGTGATGGGCGTCGCTCGCCTTTTCGTTCACAACGTTTGTTTTGGTGCGCTCCGTTTCCACGCCCCGTTTCTGCCACCTCCAAAAAGTACTCCGAACCCACATGGCTCTGCGCCGCGGAAGAGACCGACACGGACTCCACCCGCGACGTCACCTTCGCGTCACATGTTTTGTGGTCCCGTACAAACGCCTCGTATGAGCCCACCCACCCGCACGCGCTGCACTTCCCCTTCGAATGTTTCTGCAACTCCAGTAGTGCCACATTCGGCTCCTGCAGACGCTCTATTGTCGCGCAGCACTCGGGGCACTCCATGAGTCCCTTCACGCACGCGGCACAGTAAATATGACGACACGGAAACGCCTCTAGCGCATCCGTCCACTGGCACAGACAGACGCTACACTCGCCGTAGTTATTCTCAGCTTCGAAGTAGCGAGAGGCAGGGTTCACACCCCCATTAGAACCCATGACTCCAAGCTACGCGGCACCACCGTTAGGAAGATGAAGAGACAACGAACAGAAAAGAAAGGCCATGAGCACAGACCGCACGCACACCGAAACGGCGCAACCATTCCCCATAAAACGAAACACAAAAAAACCACTAGAACGAAGAATCACCCAAACAAGACGCTCCACAGGCACTCTGTCTCCTGCTAGCATCACCCCAAGAAAACAAAAGGTAAAAAAAAAAAAAAA